TGACCTCAGTATGATGTCTAGAGTTTGAAAAGAGATGGGTTTTATGATTTCCATCTTTCAAGAATGTTAAATGGTTTTAAATGCCTTACACTTAAAGAAAAAACACATAAGACTATTAGACAAGGTTCAAAGGAAAGGTAATGCAATGGGAAAACCAGAAAACAGTATTGAGAAGATAGAGCAAGCACCTCAATATGGAAAATGCTATCGGTGCTAAAGCATGATCTTAAATTTAAACCATATATTCATGTAAGTGTTGCGCAGTTTTTGATCATAAGCTTATCGTTGACATATGCAAGTCCTGTTTGTTTTTCACCAATTAAATACTACAAGATCCACCATAGTATAAAAGAAGTGGTTGTGAAGTGGAAAGCCAGCAACCATATAGCAGTGTAAGACACTAGATCCTTTACCATCATACTCCTAAATACAGAGTAGGCATACTTCGAGACAAATAAGCAACAACATATCAATAATGTAATGTAACTAAACCTATTAATACTTGTTCATTAAGTATGGTTCTTTGGAACATTGTAGCAAAAGCCTAAACCACAATTTCATATCCTAATTAAGCTATTGAAATATAATGCTACTCCATGTTCCATGACCAGCAGCAAAGCAGGAATAACTTCAGCAACCTGAACAGTAGAATCCTCATCAAAACCACTAAACTCATGCTCAGTTGCTGAAAAAACAGAAACACAACATATTTAAAATGTAATTTCAACTAGTATATAATTCTTACAATAAAAATCCCATAAATTCATTCAATTAAACCAAAAATCCAAACGACCATTTCATAAAATAACCAAAATGGGACAACAACATATAAGTCCGAAAATCATCATAAAAACCCAAACAAACATGCTTCAAATGCGAGTACTAGTATTTAGAGCTATTGTCACACACCCAATCCAAAAAGATGTAAATCATGTAATACAAAGTACTATTCAGGATACTTAAGAGCTGGGAGGACAAAAGAAATGCACTTAATAATAAGTCATGTAACAATAACAGAAGAAACATTTGTAAACTATTGATGATTTCATCATGTATTAGAAATTAAGAATTTATCTACAAAACGAAGGCTGGCAATAGTTTAACTCTTCTAGGCATTTTGCGTTAATCAAGGATAGCTCCCTCGTTAATTCGGCATTAAACTTGAATGTATTCTACCTTGCTCTACAATAACAAAATGCTGCAAGCAAAATCTTGGAAGTAAAAGAATGGGAGAATAGCTCATTATTCGTTTACAATGGCTGGAGTTTTGCTCAGGAACAATAGTATCGCTATCAACAGGCTTGTATTGTATTGTAGCAGTTCAAAGTGTCATTGTTGAGTATCATAGTTGTTAAAAAATCATTGAGGCAGTAGCTTTTGATTATCCCCCCCAAAACAGAATTTACTGCAAACCAGAACTACTTAACCAAAACAAAAACTATAAATCAGAACATAAAATCAAAAAATTAACAGAAATTATATGAACAATTATACAAATCAGAACATAAAATCAAAAAATTAACACAAATTATATGAACAACAATACAAATCAGAACTAAAAATCAAAAAATTAAGACATGCAAATCCCGTCAAACAACAAATCAGCAACAAAAAAACCGAAATGAAAACAAAAAAAATTAACAGAAAATTACCTTTGAGTTGTGACGGCTTGAAGGAGAGGAAGATTTGAAGATTGAGAACTGGAGATCGAAAAAAAAACGAGAATGGAGAACTTGAGATCGAAGAATAAAAAACGAAACGAAAACAAAAACAATTAACTAAACTTTACCTCAAATTGAGCTTGAAGAGTTGAGAACTTGAGAGTGAGTGAGGATTCAGCGCTTCGATTTGAGGATGAAGAAGAAGAACCGAACAAAACGGCTGAATGAAGAGGGTGAATGAAGAGGAGATGACCTAACCTAATTGGCATTATTGGGGCTATTGGCTAAAATCCACGTTTCACCTTCTTTATTTTTTTTTTCATATATATGAACCACATTATTTTTTTAATTATTTAACAATCAAAATATCTAAATTCTAAATCTAAAATTTGTTTTTCCTTTTGATTTTTGGAGGGAAATTTCCCACCATTCATATTTTGATGAAATTTTCAACCAAAAAAATGAAATTAATTTTTCACTTTGTAAAAATCAAAAATTTTAATTTTATTTTAATAACATTAAAAAAAATTTGTACAATTAATTAATTACATGGCTTCAAAAAAAGAACTAATTACATTTCTCGAATCCTGATAAAACGATATATACCTTCATAATATCAACTTTTATATTTTTTTTAACACACATATAAATATTAAGTTCTTTAAATTATAAAATGTGAATCGATTAGCGTGTAAATATCCAGCGTTGCGATTAATAAAAATCAAAGATCGTTTAATAATATAATGATGTCATATCTTAGATAGTTAGAAGTACTACGGATTTGTTATATGGTTATAATTATATCAATTTAGCTGTATCTATAAGCAATACACTTGTAATCGTGTAAACTTATAAATGATAGAATTCACTAGTAGATTAGTACATAAATACAAATTACTTAATTAGATATGAGTTTTGACTACATGAGTGATTGACTAATATGACTATATGAGAAATTGTCAATTTAGCATAGCTGCATAACAGATTAGCAGTGTACTAGACTATCATACTCGGTAATATACTAATGGCATTTCAGTATTTGATCTATTAGACTCAAGTTAAAAGTTACTCTTTCTTATTAACTTGTTAGTCTAACTAAGTAATTAGTACTTACTAATCAGGGACTTAAGCCTTAGGGGTAAACTAGTAATAAAGGATATATAAATCTAATAATCTTATGATTCTCATCCCTTTATACTAATAATATTTAAATATGAGAATATGAGATGGTTAGATGTTATGTATATGTATAATTGATTGAAAGAATCAATATTACCTTCTTTTTCATTAATGTTTTATTTCATTATACAAATCAAACTACTTTGTAATATCTTCATATATAACTTTATGAAAATATATGATGATAAATGAGTCTTAATTATCAGTCTTGTTGACTAATTAAGTATCGAATACCAAATTGCAATTTCGATGTCACAACAACTCATCAAATCATGATTATGACACTATTAACTAAATGATCAAATAAGAAGAAAATAATAATCTGATAGTAAAACAATATTACATTAATGCTCTAAACTTTTATAATCTAATTCGTAATAAACTAGTAAGATCAGTATGCTAAACTGGAAACATAACATGATATGTATTTATAAAATTAATGAGAATTTGCATATAAAATGATGCCTCAATATGAAGTGATGAAATCTTGGCTTGATGTAAAACTTGTTAACCGGCAAAAAGTTAGAAAGTAGTATAAAATTTCAAACAATAATTTGTTTAATTCCCTGAATCCAAACGACTCGATAAAAAGCCGATTTTTTTAAATCAAAAATAGATCCGAACCGTAATTTAGTAAACCTGAAATAAAACCGATCCAAATAATGTTAAATCGTAGAAGAACCGAACCCGTTAACGAACTGAACTAGTTATAAACCGAACTAAAATAAAACTGAACCAAAAAAGAACCGAACCGTTTCTAACTCAAAACTGTTTGAACCGGGATAAAAACCGTTTACACCGAACCGTTAACAACCGCAACCCATCTGCACTGAACCGTTTACAACCCGAACCAAATTTAAACCGGGATAAAAACCGTTTACACCGAACCGTTAACAAACCGCAACCCGTCTGCACCAAACCGTTTACTACCCGAATCGTTTACAACCCGAAGAGAATTTAAACCGTTCAAGAATAAACCGAAACCGAATCGAACTGATAATTATTCAAACCGAACTGAAACCGACCCGTAAGACATTTGAACCGATTTCAAACCGACCCGATTTCAAACCGAATCGAAACCGAACTGTCAAACTGTTTTGACAGTACTAACTACCACTTTTATTAATTAACATTTTGAAATATATTCATCTTCAGGATGGTATCATTTTGAAATATATTAATTAACATGTGGCCACTTTTATTAAATAAAACATTAATATTTAAGTTAATGTATGTACCAAACTGACCATCAATATATTTTATTATTTATGTGCAAGGATTACATAAAATAATGATATAAATACTATCTCCCCTTAATCCTTGCATGTGGGGGCATTAAATTAATCCAACTACCTTTAAATCTCTTGCACCTTTTAAGCCATAAATTCTTTTATCAATGCATGTATCAAGCAAAGTAAAATGATTCTTATAAGACTCATATTCGTTCCTCTTGCCCAATTATACGAACCTTTATACTAAAAATTCTCAAATCAATATTCTAATAGAATTAAAGGAACTAAATAATATTCACTAAACCAAATAACTTAAATTAATAAATGACTGATAATAATAATAATGAAATATCCGAAAACATAAAAATATCCACAAACAAATGTCCCATAAAGCATAAAATCATAGTACTACGATAAAATTCTATAATAAATGCAAGCTAATTAATAGAGTTTATTCGCCAATGGATCATAATTTATTCAATTATTTTCTTCAGAATTGGGATAGAAATCAGCTGCTTCCAGGTGAGTTTTATCACCGTAATCATATTCACCTTCGCCATCCTCATACACCAAATTTGTTTCCACTTTCTTTCCTTTCTGTTTGATTGATTGTTGATAAAGGTCTACTAGATTTTTTGGTGTACGACACACACGAGACCAATGGCCTTTTCCTCCACAACGGTAGCATATATTTTCATATTTATCCTTCTCATTCTTATTTCCATCTTTATTATCCCACTTCTGGTGAGAGTATGAGTTTCTAAAATGATCACCTCGACCACGATCATGTCCACGTCCGCGGTCGCGACCACGACCTCGACCACGGCCTCCACCACGACTGCTGGCGTGATCTCTAGCCATTCGCTCTTTCCCACTATGGGATGTCGCATTCGCTTCAGGGAATGGAGTAGAGCCAGTTGGGCGTGATTCATGATTTTTTCATTAATAGTTCATTATTTTGCTCAGCCACAAGGAGACAAGATATAAATTTAGAATATTTTGTAAAACCCTTTTCACGGTATTGTGTCTGCATGACAACATTATTTGCATGAAAAGTAGAGTATGTTTTTTCTAACATTTCTACATCCGTGATTTTCTCTCCACATAATTTCAATTGTAATGTAATTCTAAACATGGCTGAGTTGTATTCACTCACAGACTTAAAGTCTTGTAATCTTAAATGTAACCAGTCATAACGAGCCTTTGGTAATATCACAGTTTTCTGGTGGTCATACCTTTCCATTAGATTACTCCAAAGGACTTGTGGGTCTTTAACAGTCAAGTACTCAATCTTAAGGCCTTCATGAAGGTGATGGCGAAGGAATATCATAGCTTTAGCCTTATCTTGGCTTGTTGCAGTATTGTTTTCTTTAATAGTATCACCAAGTCCCTTTGCATCTAAATGTACTTCAGCATCTAACACCCAAGACAGATAGTTGTTTCCAGTAATATCAAGAGCAACAAATTCGAGTTTTGCAAGGTTTGACATGATTCACTGATATATAAAACATTATTATAAATTAGGAACTAAAATGAAATAATAACATATATATAAATATTGGCAGTCCATATTATTAATAACAAAAAGAGAAAGAATCAAGCAACACTAGTTGCTGCCTTGCTCGGTGCTGTCAGTCTATACACACTACTAAAGCACCTCTTCTGTCTCTCTCCCCTTCTCACTTCTCTTTTCTCTCTCTTCCCCAAAAAAACATACCCATTTCAAAAAGATCAAACATTTCAAACTTAATTACTCCATTTTCCATTATTTTTTTTTCTATTTTAATCACTACTCATAGTTCAAAATAAATACTCGAAAATACATTACATGACATGAACTCCTAGCATGATTTTTATTGTGATAATCAGAAGTAATAATCCCATGCTATTTTCACACAAATTGCAGGCAACAACTCATTCTATATTACTCCTCGAAACCGTACTATACTTCACTAAACACCAATTATACCAATTAAAACCATGACCCAATTAAACTAAGATTCAAGCAACTAATTTAATCATTATAAGCTGTTTGGGGTCCAAATAACTTATATTTGGGCCCAGTCCATAGATGAAAACAAATCAAAGCCCAAATGGCAAGGTTCAACCCTCAAGCCCATGTACCAAGTCAAGTCAACGAAGCCCAGTCAAATGCCAGCCCATTTGACTCCTCAAGCCCACTCCATTCAATTGGAGCAAGGTATAAAAGCTCACACTTATGCAAACTTACATTCATTCAAAAATATTGCCTCAAGCAACAAACTCTCTTGCATAGCTTTTCTCTCATCATTTGACAATCGTACTGACTTCGGCATCGGAGGGCCTTCCTCGGCATAACCCCCGAGGCCAGTTTACGTTTGTTCTACTGTGTAGGAAATCCCCAATTCGGTCATCACTCGAATTAGGCTTCATCTCCACTCACCCGAAGGACCTGCTGAAGGTCCCATTGTTTTTACCGAAACAATTTGGCGCCGTTTGTAAGGATACTTACAAAAAGTCAGCCAAAAATCTCATACACCGATCTTAGCCGAACTCTCACAAATGACTAAGAGCAGGAAAAACTTCAAAAAAGAAAAAAAGATGGGCCTGATCACGGTGAGGACTGATAGGGCACCCTTACCGTCACCGGAACCATCTGCCTCAGTCTCGGGGATCCCTCATTCTCCGGGAAGAGAGGAACTGTCCGGGGGGTCTCCTCCTCGACAGAAGCGTCGGAGTGCCGACTCACCAAGAGAAAGCGAAGCCTAGCCTGAGAGCTCTCAGCCGAGCATACATTTTCGCTCACAGCCAAAATCGACCCCACCCACCGTGCCTTCGACTGAAGAGGTGGCGAGGGTCGTGGCTGTGTGCATCGAGTTCATGAACGCATTAGGAGGACACCTCCCATTCGCGAAGAATCCTCCTCCTCCTCCTCCAAAATCACATAGTTTTAAGAGGAAAATGAGTCCGGAAGGAGAAGGACGGGTCCCATCCTCTAAGGGGGAAGGGATCCGAAAGGCTGAAGACCTGGCTAGGTCTGGACGGGAACAGAGAAGGGACTCCAGTCACTTCGGGAACTCCAAAGTCCGAAACTCCAGGAACCAGCCGAACAACAATGACATTACTCGCCAGAGCGTCTATGACCGCCTAGGGGAAAGGGAGAAGGACATTCATAGCCGTCTCACCTATCTCGAAGGCTCTCGCTTGGAACTATCACGCGGAGGGACACCCCTCACTTTCACCTCTCTAAGAGGGAAAATTGAGGTTCTTTAGGAAAGACAGAAGGGAAAAGCTGTGATGGTTCCTACCAGTTCACCTTTCCAGAGGTGGATATGAGAGGAACACGTGCCAACGGTCAAAATTCCGGAACACATCACTTACGATGGAACTTTAGATCTGAAGGACCACATAGCCTCCTACGAGGGGCATATGTACCTTAACCCTAGGTCCGAAGCTACCTGGTGCAAGTACTTCCCTACAACCCTAAAAGGTGTTGCCCAATCATGGATCACCAAGGGGCTGAAGGAAGGCTCGATAACAGGTTGGAACGACCTCTCCAACAAATTCAAAAGCAATTTTTCTACGGCAATCGCCAAGAGAAAACTACTGCAGAACTTATGAGTCTGCAACAAACTGAGGATGAAAGTCTTCGGGATTACCTGACTCGCTTCAGCAACAAGTCGTCCAGAATCACAAGCCTGGACCAGAGTCTGGCCGTATTCGCACTACGGAATGGCTTGCAAGCTTGGAAATTTCTGGATTTCATGGTCATGCATCCCCGCAGACCTTGGAAGAAGCCCTCGATGCTTCGGATAAATTCATCCGAGTCGAGGAATGGAACAAGCTAAAGTCGCAGTCTCAATCAGGGGCTGCGAAGCCAAAAGGCCAACTAGCCGAAGTTCCAGGGTCGAAGAAAAGGAAGGCAAAAGCCTCAAAACCTCCCTCGACCACCGAGTCGAAGAAGGACAAGTCCCCCTATCTGGGAAAGTTCGAATCTTACACTCCTCTCACCTTACCCCGTGCTAAGATCTTTAGTGCGACGAGGGAGAGGGGAAGATTCAAAAAGCCGAAGCCGCCTCCTTCTTGGCATCAGAAGAAAGGGAAGGATCATTGGTGCGAGTTCCATGAATCCCGTGGACATCGCATCGAGGAATGCCTTCAGCTGAAGGACCAGATTGAAGAACTGGTCCAAAAAGGATATTTAAAGAAATATGTCGCGGAACGCCGTGAAGAAAAGAAAGCTGAGAAAGATTCTCGGCAGGATCTAGATTACCACCGAAAAAGGGACAAACCTTCCAAGGGAGGAAATCATGACATCTTGACCATTTCCGGAGGTACTTCTCGAAATGCGCTGAAACGCCATCTGAGGGGGCTAACCCATCATATTCTTCACGCTGAATTCCGAAAGTCACAGTCCCTGGTGTCGAACATGATGTTCACATCCGAAGACTGTAGAGGGGTGGTGTACCCCCATGATGACCCATTGGTTATCATGACGAGCATCGCAAACCACAACGTCTATCGGACTCTGGTAGATGGTGGCAGCGGGGCGAATATACTTTTCCGAAAGGCATTCGACCAGCTGAAGTTGGAGAGCAGACACCTAACTCCAGTTCCCTACCTGGTAAATGGATTCAACGGCTCTTCTTCATATCCAGATAGGAAAATTCTTCTTCCCGTCAGCATCGGACAGGAGCGAGCAAAGAGGAGCATCATGGCCGAATTCTTGGTCATCGATGCCCCATCAGTATACAACGTCATTATGGGGAGACCCCTAATCCACGAAGTTCAAGGAGTTTTCTCGACGTACCATCAAGCAATGATATACGTTTCAGACGAAGGACGCTCCGAAAAAAATCTTGGGCAGCCAAAGGGACACCCGAGAATGTAACTTCCTCAAGCCATCCAAAAGTCGCCGCAACGACAAGGATGATGAGGAAGAAAAAGAAAAAGAGCGAGGTACCAAAAGGCCAAAGGGCCTAAGTGCTTCGGCTTAGGGATCCCCATCCAAAAGAACATCTTTGGGGACTGGAAGGGCTAGTTTTTCAGATGGGCCGAAAGACTCAGAAGAAGATCAGCCGAAGCAAGGAAGGTCTGCTGATATTAACAGTAGGCCCGAACCAAAAGAGCCTGGCTCCAAGGCAATGGAGTCAGATGAACAAACTGAATCAATACCGTTGACTGAAGGAGATACCGAAAAATGTGTCAGCATCGGACAAGGACTCGATCCGAACCTTCGGTTCCAATTAATCCAACTCCTTCAGAACAACTGAGATGTGTTCGCATTCTTAGCAGCTGACATGCCGAGAATTGATCCTAAACTCATCTCTCACAAGCTTAATGTCGACCCCACATGTCGGCCTGTTAAGTAAAAGAAGCGGAATTATTCCGCTCAAAACAACCAAGACATCGCAGCCGAAGTAAAAAAACTTTTGGACGTAGGGTTCATCAAGCCTTGCCAATATCCTGAATGGCTGGCGAATGTAGTGATGGTTCAGAAGGCTAATGGCACCTAGAGAATGTGCGTTGACTTCACGGACCTAAATAGGGCCTGTCCGAAGGACTTCTATCCCTTGTCGAGAATCGATCAGTTAGTCGACTCGACAAGTGGCCATGCTCTGCTTAGTTTCATGGACGCATTTTCTGGGTACCATCAGATCTTCATGCACCCCGATGACAGAGCAAAAACGACATTCGTTACAAGTGCCGGGGTGTAGAACTAAAAGTTGATGCCCTTCGGCTTGAAAAACGCCGGAGCGACATATCAGAGGTTAGTGGACCAAGTGTTCGCCGAACAAAAGGGCCGTAACATGGAAGTCTATGTTGACGATTCCATCGTCAAGAGCAAAGAAGCAAAAGACCATGTTGCGGACCTAGCCAAAACGTTCGCTACTCTGAGAAAGCATCAAATGAAGCTGAATGCCACCCATCCTAGTGGCCACCGAGTTGAGGCCTCTTTTTCTTCGGACAACTGAAAAAGAGGCTACGGGACATTCACCTTTGAATTGGTGTATGGATCCGAAGCTGTTTTACCAGTGGAAATTGGCTCAGAAAGTCTTCGAGTCAACCAGTTCTTAGCCGAAGAGAATGAGCAACTTATGAAAGAGTCCCTTAATTTCCTTGACGAAGTCCGTGATTCAGCCAGAGACAGAATGGCAGCATACAAACAAAGAATCAGCAAGTTCTATAACCGAAGAGTCCAAGCAAGACTCCTCAAAGTTGGGGACCTTGTCCTTCGGAATGTTGCTGCTGTCCAGAAAGGTCGCGTCCATGGAAAGCTCTCGGCTAACTGGGAAGGGCCTTATGAAATATACGATGAGCTCCAACAAAGAACTTATCGATTTCGGCAATTAGATGGAACTGAACTGAAAAACCACTGGAATGCTGATGTACTTAGGAAATTTCATGTGTAAAAGCCCAATGTGGAAGAAAAATCTATGTAAGTACATTTTATTCAAATCAATGAAAGGCCTTTGAGCCACCATTAGTCAAAGTTTCCATTATGTTTTC